CAGTTTCTCACAGTGGAAATGATGTCATCCATTTCAATGCCAAACGATTCAAGTGTTCGAATTTTGAAAAGTCATCACCTTCCGATATGGTTGGATAATATAAAGTTTCAAAAATTATCAAGTTTACCCCGTTTCGTTTAAGGGGGGAGATCAGTATATCCATCTAAGTTATAAAAGAAAAACACACGAACACATACTGTCAATATATATATATATATATTATATACATGTCTCGATTGAAAAACGAAACTACACTATCAATATATATATATATACAAACAAACACGAAACCATACTGTCCATATTTTGTGGATTCGATACGAATTTCCAGACCCTGTCGAATCAAATCACGAATCGACGCGATTGGTTAATCCATTTTTGAGTGGATTTGATGATTGGCTCTTACAGAAAGGACACGTAGATTCAACCAATCAGAACTCGAGCGTGATTCAATATATTGATTCGACAAACCACACTAATTTTGGAAAGTTATATCGAATTCACAATATAAATAAATACACATATATATAAACATATCTCGGTCAGAACACAACGAAAACACACACACACGACACCTATATATATATATATATATATATATTACCATCGTGTGACGACGTATTCCGACAAGCCTTCGGCCAAGTCTTGGTCCGTGGCAAACCTGGCGAGGCCAAAGTCACATATTTTGATGGAGCAGTCTGAGTTGACGAGGATATTAGATGGCTTGAGGTCGCGGTGGAGCACGTTGGCGCTGTGGATGTACTGGATGCCACATAGAATTTGGTACATAAAGTGCTGGATATGCTCATCACTCAGGTGTTCCTTTGAGTGAATTACACGACACAGGTCCGTTTCCATCAACGACTGCACAATGTACAAATCGTCAAACCTAGCATCGACTCCATCTCAATATGTTCGTAGCAGACGTCTGGTATTACGTGGAAAACGACAGCGGTCGCTGCAGTTCGTGCACACCCATGATGCATGGGTGTGCACCCAACTTGTTCATGAGCTGAATCTCCCTGAACGCAAGCATCGCCACCTTGGGATGCCGCATGAACTGCGCGATCTTCTTGATGGCGTACGTGCCGCCGTTGAGGCAGTCGCTTGCGGCGATCACGACGCCGTACGTGCCCTTGCCCACAACTTTGACCTGAACATATATATCAAACGCGTTCAAAACGTCCACTACGTGTTTTGGGGCGTACCATGCGATACCGATCCGACACGGTAAACGTGGAGTCGCCGATGATAAACTGGTGCAATGATGGCGCAGACGCGGTCGTCGTCGGATCAACTGCCGACGCCGCCGCCGGACCCTGGATTAACGACGGCCGGTCCACAAAGCCTACATACATGTAACCGACAAATAAATACCGCCAGAAACACTAACACATGTGAATATACGGCAAACAAATGGCGAGATTCTAAGATGCCAAAAGGACCGGGAATAGTAGACATTTTTACTCTCGCTCTTTATATATATATATATATATATATATATATATATATATATATAGTGCTTTTCATCCAAATTGGCCAATTTGGGGCGATTATTGAAATCGCCTACAAATCGAGCAAAATCAATATGGTTAGCTAAAAGAACAAAGGTTGCAATATGATTGGCTAAAATTGAAATACAACGATACCGCATATACTTGGTTTGATACTATATGTCGCAGGTCCGGCGACGGTTGGGCGGCTTAATTTCAACCAACCACCAGAGGGAATTTTGAGTAGATTCACACAAATATATATATATATATATATATATATATATATATATAGAATATATATATACTGTATATATATATAGAGAGAATATATATAGAGAGAAAGAGAATATATATATATATAGAGAGAGTGCGAGTGAGAGTGAACGAGTGAGAGCGAGAAAATTGTATCAACGCAGACTCGCAATCCAAATGCAACGACGACTAGTCCTACTAGCACGATGTGGACGGACTACTACTAGTAATACTAGTAGTACGAGTACTCCTACTAGTAGTACGTACTTTGTTCAACGTCGTCGCCAACAAACGAGCTAAAGAGGTGGCGGTTGGTGAGGCTGTGGCGGGTGGTTGAGTGCAGCCACGGGTACCGCTTGACGCCGGGGGTACTCGGTATGACAGACGATAAGCTCGCCGCGCCTTCGCCCAGCGGAGAAATATGCACCTACCCCCCACAATGATATATATATATATATATATATATTGGATATATATATTCAGAGGATCTTGGTACCGAAAGCATCATTTTGCCATAGAAACTTTCATTGGCGTTGGACAGCGTGTACGTTTGCCAGCTCGACTCCATGCCTGCGCGATTGAAAAAGTACGCCAAGTTGACCGTCGTCCGCCCCAGGACGTCGTGGGTGGCGAGGTGGCAGAATTGCACTAGTCCGATTATGCACCCTTATTAGTCCCAACTACTACTACATACATTCCCATGGTGGGCAACGATCGATCGACACTCAAATAGACACCATTCCCAACAACTTTAACACTGGAATGTGTGTGTTTTTGTATATATATAATATATATATTCACAACTAGATCCAACCCCATTACATCCGCATTTGGCATGCAAGCATCCAGTATCCATTCAAGAAAAATAGTATAATATATATATAAAGAAAACATTGAACACAAATATGCTATCTGTTGTTATTACCTCCCAAGAGTGTATTGTCATCACGAGACAGGCTGTCCATTTGCAAAAATAGATCCTGGTTCATATCAAAATGACACACGTCGCCGTCCGTGGCCGACGTAGCGACCATCACTTTGCTCTGGGCCTGCGTCGGCTGCTGCTCACGACCTCCCGCCGAGGTACTCTCAAAAGCGCACCGGACAAAGTACCTTTCGTGAGGGTCCGTCCGGATGCCCGTGAGGTGCTTGAACTTGATCGCGACGATGTACCCGCCAACAAACGACTCGCGCACGCGCTCCGAGTGCGACGGCAGCGTCAAGTTCATGCTGAAACCCTGGGGCTTGAACACCACCGACGACGCCACCACGTCCCCAAATATTTCCCATCTACAAGGAAATATATATATTATTTCATGTATAGTCACGAATCTATCAAAAACCAGCCACAGAAGATCGTTCACCAAGGCATTCTACTAGATTGTTATTCACGATGGAATATAGCACTCGCGATATAACATGACGGAAAACTTGAACGATCAACGCCTACCACTTAGTAGAATGATGTTAACCATAAGCTATCAAATATACCGTTCCATACAATATATATATATATATATATATACCTTCCATAAAAAATAATATTTATATATATATATCAACCGTTGTACGATATTAAAAAATATTATAACAGATACATGTATTGTATAAATATTATATATATACATCGATTCTAAAAGTATTGAATGCAAATAAATATATATATCAACCATCACCACGAAAACACATGCATTGGAGATTCGGTACGAATTTCTGGACCCCGTTCAATCGAATCTCGCCGACCAAACCTATCACGAATATCTCCTATTGGTCACAATCCGACATTACTTGTTTCTGATTGGCTACAACTCTTTTTGCCTTTTGGATAGTAGCCAATCAAAACACGTCTCGGCTCTATTTGTGTTCGGTTGAACGAACCCTGGAAGCTTGGGCATTTTGTAGATACAATTCACAATACTATTCCAACAGACTGTCCAATTTGAACGTACAATCCACATCCTATACATATACACATCACCTTGCCTTGGTTAAGCTCTTGTCGGCGATTCTCTTACAACAAGCAGCAAATTCTATAGATATCCTCCAATCACCGCCATCGCACTTTTCTTTCAATACAAGAAATACACTCATATGCTCTCGAAACCAATAAATCGACACCACATCCCTCTCACAACACCCCCCAAGGAATGTGATA